TAGTAACGCCAGTACCTCCAGCTCCTGCGGCTCCAGCGCCTCCAGCTCCGGGAGCTCCACTCCGAAGGTGTGCGCGCCGAACAAGCCACTCATGTAGCTGTTGCGAAGACACTCCCGGCGAAGCACCAGCACGACCTCCAGACGAAGCAGCACCCTGAGGCTCAGCACCCCCAGACTCCGCACCCTCCGTCGCAGCACCCCCAGGCTCAACACCCTCAGGCAGAGCACCCCCAGGCTCCACACCCGCAGGCTCAGCACCCCCAGGCTCCTCACCCCCAGGCTTAGCACCCCAAGACCCAGCACCCTCTGACTCCACAACCCCCGGCCCCGCACCCCGAGACGCAGCACCCCCAAACACAGCACCTCGAGCAGAACCTGTGGCAACAGCTACCTCAACAGGCGCTGTACCAGGGAGAGGGTCTACCTGAGAAACACCTGAGGGAGCAGGACCCTGGGAAGGGAGGGGGTCTATCGGAGGGGGACGTGGAGCAAGGAAGAGCAGCGGGGGCAGGGGAGGGGCAGAGCTGTAGGGGAAGAGACGGTAAATGGGAACCGACTCGTCAAACGTGACGTCTTGAGAGGGGAAGACACGGCGCGAGGTGGGGTGGTAAAACTGCCAGCCAGGCGCGTCAGGGGGAAAGCCAAGGAAGACGTAGAGAATAGCGCGGGCGGAAAGCTTGTTCGCGGAAGTATCGCGAACAAAGGCACGAGAGCCCCAGACCCGGAATACCGACGCATCGCCAACCTTCCCCGTCCAATGCCGTGCCGGCGAGGTCTCTGGCAAGGAGACACGAGGCGAGAGGTTGAGCTGATGCGCAGCGTACCGGACCGCAAATGGCCACAGAAAATGGGGAGCAGCCGCATGGATCATGGAGGTATGAGCGATCTCCATGACTAAGCTAATGCGGCGCTCAGCAATCCCATTTTGCTGAGGGGAGGACGGAAGCGTGAACGACTGGAGAATGCCCTCCCCACAACAAAAGTCCCGCAAGAGGTCGGAGGAGAATTCACCACCTCTGTCAGAGTGCAGACGCAGGACAGGAAGGTCCGCACGAAACCGCTCGCGGAGCTGGAGACGGACTGCGCGGATCCAAGGGATCAAGACATCAACGACGTGGCCCTTGCTGCAGAAGGGAAAGACCGCGGCGTACCGCGTGTAGTTCTCAACAACAAGAAGAAAGTAGCGCTCGCGGCCCTGTCCACTGACGCGGGATGGGCCCCACACGTCCATGTGGAGAGTCTGCACGGGAGCAGACGACGGGGGAAACTAGGAGGAGTGAGGTGCGGCGCGCTACCGCCCCTCGACACAAGGAAGGCAGGGCAGGACATGTGAGGGAGGGAGGGGAGGCAGAGACCTGAGAAGACCAGAGACAAGGAGACGTGAGTACATGCCACGAAGGCGTGGCAGGGAGGGGTGACCCAGGCGTTGGTGCCACAGAAGAGTCTGGTGCGTCAGGAGGCGACACGAGCAAGGGGGTGCTACATGACCTGACGCGGACACCTGAGCAGATGCATCTACCTGAGGAGGCTCGGTAGCGAGTGTGTACAGACTCGACCCTGGCCGACGAGTGAACGTGGCCAGGTGACGACCCGTCCGTGTACACGTGCAGATCGACACACGCTGATCCCCAGGAGTGGTGGTAGTGACCATCGCATCCTGGAGGGCAGCGGTACTCACCAAGTTCGTAGAGAACGATGGGAGGTGAAGACCTGACAGTGAGCCGGACGGAACCGCCGGACACGGGAGGACAATGGAGGAGCGGGCAACGACCGGGCCCCCGGAGGGGTCAGCCAGTCGGACCGGGAGAGGTGCAGGGAGAGGAGTGAGAGTGGTGCTGTCACGAAAGAAACAGCGTGAGGCACTTGAGTCCTGCGTGAAGGTGTGCAAGGCCTCAGTAGGCGCAGCGCTAGGGAGAACAGACCCACTAGCACCTAGAGCAGCAGCGTCTATACCTAGGTCAGGCGGCACACACAGTTAACAGTCACCCTTAGCACTAGCAGACAAAGCATACATAGCAAAAAGAATACCATCATAGTCTAGGTCAAAGATCGCAACACCAGACCAAAGCAGCTCTGCCCAATGGGGGCGCTCGACCTCGTCACCAAACTCAGCGTGCCAAGCGTCGTCGAGACGGGTGAAGCAGCGGTGCTGCGTGTGCGCCTTCCCGCATGTCTGACCTGCAAGGTCACCCGTGCGAATGACATACGGGCAGCTCACTCTACCCCCAGACGCCCCACGTTGAATCAACCACTCACGAAGCTTCTTGGGCGAAGGGGTCTCGCTGCGACGCTGCTGCCGCTGCCGCTGGACTCCTCCAAAGCCTCCATGCTGAGCTCCAGTCCTACCGCCACCACTGCCACCGCTGCCACTACCGCCACTCTCACCGCTGCCTCCACCACCGCCACCTTTGCCCCCACTCCCTCTACCACTCCCACCGCTGCCACCACCTCCACTGCCGCCATTGCCTCTATTGCTGCCCCCTCCACCACCCCTGCCACCCTTGCCTTTGCTGCTGCGGCGCTTCGCACTAGCAGAAGCAGCCCCGACATATTCAGTACTAAGGACGTCTACAGCAGCAGCAGAGGCGTAGGAGGGGGCAAGGGGGGAGGGGGAGCACCCCTCAAAGAAGGGCGTGCGCGGAGTGCCACGAGCAGCACCTACAGCTACTACACTAGTCTCAACTGCAAGGAGGTGATGCTCGAGTAGGTCAATAGTGAGGGAGGTGGGGTCAAGGGAGAGGAAGTGGTCCCTAACAGAGCGCAGAGAGTCAGGGAGGCGGGTGACTATAAAGTAGAGAGTGATGTACATCGGGGGCGGGTTCCTGTCAAGGAACTTTGGTGCGAGGGTAGCGCGGTAGCGAGCGTCGCTAGTGCGAAGGTGGGAAACCAGGTCCTCGACTGTGGCAAAGGCGGACAGCTCGGGGAACAGGTAGGGCAGGAGGAGGCGGCCTAGAGCAGCAGTGGCAGGCAAGGAGTAGCGAGAGACGACATTGGCGTACAGTGCCTGTGCTGTCCTGTGCTGTCCGAAGTGAGCGCATTCGGCTAACGGCAGGTAGTTGCAAATGGCTAAGCGGGCAGCAGCGTCGCGAGTAAGCCACTGTGAGCAAGTCGTAATGTCAGCTGTGGCGGGAGGGGCGGGAGCAGTGCCAGACGCGAGGTCAAACAAAGAAACACTGTCCCGAGAGTCGCTCAGTAGGCACAGTTGTAGGTCGTCCAGCCACGTGTCAAACTGGATCGGGCGACCCTCATGATCGAACGCAAGAACTCGAAGCGAAGCCATAGCGGCGCAGCGAGCAGAGCGGGGAGCGAAGAGCACAGGGCAGGCAGCAGGAGCAGCAGCAGTAGCAGCAGTAGTAGCAGTAGTAGCAGTAGCAGCAGCAGAGGGGCCGATGGGCCGGGGGGCCTAGGGGCGACGAGCTGCGGGGCCAGGAACGAAGGGGGGGGGCCGAGGGGCCGGGGGCCTAAAGGGCGACGGGCCGCGGGGCCAGGAGCAACGGGCCGAGGGGCCGGGGGGCCTAGGGGCTACGGGCCTCGGGGCCAGGAACGAAAGGGGGGGCCGAGGGGCCGGGGGCCTAGGGGCGACGGGCCGCGGGGCTAGGAACGAAGGGGCCGAGGGGCCTGGGGCCTAGGGGTGGCGGTGCGCGGGGCCAGGAACAAAGGGGGCCGAGGGGCCGGGGGCCTAGGGGCGACGGGCCGCGGGGCTAGGAACGAAGGGCCACGGGGCCAGAAACGAAGGCCCAGGGCCGCGGGGCGACGGGGCCTAGGGCGACGGGCCTAGGGCGACGGGGCCGAGGGCGACGGGGCCTAGGGCGACGGGCCGCTGGGCTACGAGGCCTAGGGCGACGGGGGCCGCGGGGCGACGGGGCCTAGGAAGACGGGGGGCCGCGGGGCGACGGGGCCTAGGGCGACGGGGGGCCGCGAGGCGATGGGGGGCCGCGGGGCGACGGGGCCTAGGAGAATGGGGGCCGCGGGGCGACGGGGCCTAGGGCGATGGGCCGCAGGGCGATGGGGCCTAGGGCGTAGGGCCGAGGGGCGACGGGGCCGAGGGCGACGGGGCCGAGGGCGACGGGGCCTAGGGCGACGGGGCCTAGGGCGACGGGCCGTGGGCGACGAGGGCCGCGGGGCGACGAGGCCTAGGGCGACGGGGGCCGCGGGGCGATAGGGCCTAGGGCGCAGGGCCGAGGGGCGACGGGGCCGAGGGCGACGGGGCCTAGGGGCGATGGGCCGCGGGGCGACGGGGCCTAGGGCGAAGGGCCGAGGGGCGACGGGGCCGAGGGTGACGGGGCCTAGGGGCGACGGGCCGCGGAGCGACGGGTCTAGGGCGACGGGCATAGGGGCCTAACTGTCGCGACAAGCAGTAGGGGCAGCGCGAGGGCTGCAGAGGGCGGCTAGCGGGGTAGCGCTGTGGTGGGCCCAAGGAAAAAAAAACAGTCCTAGCGGAGGACCTGCTCTTAAACCATGTCAGAATAATGAACGAGAATGAATGAACTATGAAAGAGTTGGGTACAAGTACTAACCCTAATTGGGTTGTACCCCTTATGGGCTACCCCACTATAGCCTACACAAATGTAAGCACTATAATGTTCTGACAGCTGGAACTGCTGCTGCAAAACGCCCAAATTTATTACTATTTTGACGGCAGCTACGCGGGACCCTTGGCCGACACTGACAACGCCAGAGCGCAGTACTACAATGACTCGCTCATGGCGTACAACGTGTTGCTGCGAAACATGTCGCCGACGGAGCAGCTGGGCATTCGTTCGTACAAAACGTCACCTGCTTCAGCACTGGTAGCCTGGCGGCACCTTACAAAAGTGTACTAGCCCAAGGACTCAGTGTCGTCGAGCCGACTACTCCAACAGCTGATGTGCAAAAGTGTACAGCTTTTCTGGCAGGTGACGAGACAGGGGTGCATGGCGGTTGTTGCACAGCTTCTCCAGATCCCAGTTACTGACGCATGCGAACAGCGCATCGTCTCTGGCGAGGGCTTTAGGTGACCTATGGGGGGAGTGGTTGGGCCTGCGGCTGGTTACCCCTCGCAGTGGCTGGATGTGCGCTTCCAGGTGTTGTAGGCAAAATTGGTGGAGCGGTTTGGTTGGCTTTGCGGGTGGAATTTCAGATGCGGCTCGGGCATGGGCTGATTTTCGCTGCTGTCTGGGTGTACCCCTCGAAATTCTTGTCGCGGTTCGAGCGTGGGTTGGGCCGAACCCACGCTGAGCAAGGGTTTGTGACTGAGCCTCGCATGAGGCACTCGAACTCAAAGAAGAATCAGTTGAGTCATCTCCCCCCTCATAAATACTCCCAGACACAGCGACTTCAACATTAGTTATTGCGATTTCGCTCAAAGCCCTCCTAGCCGCTGCCTGGTAAACGTTCAGTAGACCTCCTCCTCAAGCTCCCCTTCCACGCCTGCGATTCCCTACGCGACCCCCGCCTCTTAGCGGGCTGGCCGCGGCTGGAAAGGAACTTCCGTGTCCTCCTCCCCTAGTTTGCGGTCGTGTCCGAGCGTCCTCCAGCGCCTGCTGTCGTCGCGTCACATGTGACCTAAGAATCGCGGCATCTGTTTTTGATGGCGACCGAGGCGGAGAAATTGAGGGTTGAATTGGCGGCCCCCCTTGTTCTCGACCAAGGAAACTCCGCTAAGAGCATTCTCACTCACCCCCAGGTTCCGGCTCCTGCTACTGCCACTGCCTTCCCGCCTCCTCCTGCAGTGGCTGCACCGTCAGCTCTCTCTGCTCCACTTGTTGTGGCTGCACCGCCAACTCTCTCAGCTCCTGCTCTCGCGGTTCGTGAATCACGCGTGCTGCATCCTGTCGCACAAACAGCGCCTGCACCGTCGCCACTCGTCCAGTATGTCGTCGCGGGCTCGGCGCCAGTGACAGCTGTGGACGCCGGCCCCGATTCGGCCCACAAGGTGTTCCCCGAGTCTGCACCGCTTCCACAAGCGGCGCCTCCCTCCGAGACGAAGGGAATCCGCGCGAAGTCTGAGAATCGCGCCGCTGCCGTGGGGGGCAAAGCGACGTTTCATTGGGGTCGCGATTCTCCGTGTCGCCGCCCCTCCCCATCGTATCGATCTGCACATTGTGGCGGCCATGGCGGCTGGAGGGGAGGTCACGGACGCGACCGTGATGGCGTGAATGAAGTAAAGCACTTGCGTCCCGACCTGCCGGGGATGCTAGCTACTGCAATGCGCTCGGTGCAGGTTGGGTCGTCGAGCCACATCGGCTGGCAGTCTCTGCGCGCTGCTCCGATAGCCCCTCCGCCCGTGTACGAGCACTTTCCGGCTCCTGCACCTGTTGCCCGTCCTGTGGCTGCTGTCCGGTATCCCGACCTGCCGTGGATCCCTCCTGTTGCGGGCATGGGATTTGTGGGAGTGGGAGGAGGAGAGGCGAGGGTGTCGTTCGTCCCCCCTCGTCTTGCTGCTACAGTTCCCCCTGCGGCGCCTCCTCCCTCTCTTCCTGATCCTGGTGTTGGGGTGTTTGCGCCACAGGTGCAAGTGCCCACGACGGCGCTTGCGCAGCTGTGGCGCTTGGTGGTGTTATAGTCACAATAGGCTTAAATGTGCCTAAAACGAAAGATAGAGTGCACAGGCGGATTTCGACAAAGCGGTTTCAAACATTGATAACGTTCTGGTCACAGCACCAAATAAGGTGCTACTATTGATTCTTGAGCGTCTTGACGTCATCTACAAGTATCAAGTTGAATCACTTGATTTGACAAAGAAATGACGACGTAATAGTAGTTCGAACGAATGGTGGTCTAGTAGCAACTAAAGTCTTAGGACACAAGATAGGAAGAAGTTACGAGTTGCGAATGACTCCCACCCTCTACAAACCCAAAGAGCCGAGTTCCAGGGAGGTGAAATAGTGTAAAACAGTCCCCAACCACAAGGGTCGACACCAAGAACTAAGTTACACTGCACAATGCAATGTAACTATTCTTAATATATTGATGTTTACCGTTTCGGCGAGCTCTTAAATCACTTGATTTTTGAAACCAGGGCTCTGGGTCTTCATAAAAAATTCCTCCTTGAGTTCTTCAAGGCTTGCTGCACAGTCCTGCGACACGCCAAACATTCGATACAGCGCAGACACACAAACGATGACGTGACACGCGTATAGCGATAACTCGCTATTGACTCGACACGCACATTCGACATCATGACTCATCATTCACACGCTATTATAAGCATGAAATATATATTGTCTCATGCCCTCATACCATTCCATGCATACACGTATGCACGCACAACGACAACAAGCCGAGTGCAAACTATAGGGTTGCACCAACAGGTGGAGTGTCAGCAGGCTCTGACACATATTTTGGTGAATGTGCACTTAGCCATCCTCCAGAACCCAGTGAACACTCTCAATCCTGGTCCGAGAGCTGAATGCTTGACGGCGGCTGCGCAGTTTGCCTTCCTACTGTTACCCGTACTGGCAGCGCCCGCGCAAGGAGGCGTTGCTGTCTCACAGCTGGACGACACGGTACAGGGTCAGACCCGACACCTGCGCGCTGGTGGCGGACTTGAAGCAGTTGGCTCGACTGCGTTAGTGGTGTGGAGGACCATGCGTAGTATCCTCGCGGCCCTGGATGCCCATCTGATGTAGTTTCGGGCAAGCGCCGCATGTAGACATGCTGCATTGTGATGTTTATTAGTTGAATGCGCCTGCCAATCATGTCATTCTTTTTGTGCTAATTGTGTGGTGTAATTGAATCCTTGCCACCAGGGGTTAGGGTTTTCCCCTAAACCGGATCAACCGGGTCATCCGGGTGGGGAACCGGATCCAACCCTGATATTTTCAAGCACAAAATGAACTAATGAAGAAAGGGGAGCCCCGTGGGGCCCTTATACAGCTATGGAACTAGGGGAAGAGGGAAGAGGGCAGAGGGCAGGGGCTAAGTCCTCTCTCTCTCTCTCTGGCTCTCTCCATCGTTGATATTCTTTAGCACAAAATGAAGTAATGAAGAAACGGGCCCCTCATGGGGCCCTTATATAGCTATGGAACTAGGGGAAGAGGGAAGAGGGCAGAGGATGTCAGAATCCCAACCACTAAACCATTTGGATAAAAGGGCTTGTTAAGTAGCGGGTCAGTGCGCCAATAACCCCCCAGGCTAGCGAGCCTGTAACCCTTCCCTAGGATCAATCGGGGATCACTAGTGGACCTCTGACACCCCCCCGCACTGGGATGCCCGAAGTGCACACACTGGGATTCGAACCCGAGACCTTCGCTCTGATACCATGCAAGAATCCCAACCATTAGTGTCAAACATTATATATGTTGTGTTAGTTTAGGCTACAGTGGGTTAGCCTATAGGGGGTACACAATTCTAGGGTTAGGTACTTGTACTCTTTTCATTGCTAGTTCATTCATTCCTGTTCAGTAATTCCAACATGGTATAGAGCAGGTCCTTCCTAGGACCGAAATTTTCTAAGGGCCCACCACTATGTAACTACCTACCTACCTACCTACCCGTGCCCTAGGGCGCCTCGGCGTGTCACGCCCCTAGAGGCCCCTCTTGACGGCCCCGCGCTAGCCCCGTTCAGGCCCCGTCGGCCCCTTTAAGGCCCCGTTCAGGCCCCGCGCTAGCCCCGTTTGGGCCCCGTCGGCCCCGTTTCAGGCCCCGTCGGCCCCGCGCTAGCCCCTCTCAGGCCCCGTCGGCCCGCGCTAGCCCCATTTCAGGCCCCGTCGGCCCCGTTTCAGGCCCCGTCGGCCCCGCGCTAGCCCCGTCGGCCCGCGATAGCCCCGTTTCAGGCCCCGTCGGCCCGCGCTAGCCCCGTTTCAGGCCCCGTAGGCCCCGCGCTAGCCCCTCTCAGGCCCCGTCGGCCCCGCGCTAGCCCCATTCAGGCCCCGATCGGGCCCGCGCTAACCCGTTTCAGGCCCCTTCGGCCCCGTTTCAGGCCCCGTCGGCCCCGCTGCTAGCCCCGTCAAGGCCCCGTTTGGCCCCGCGCTAGCCCCGCTCAGGCCCCGATCGGCCCCGCGCTCGCCCCTCTAGGGCCCCAACCGGCCCCGTGCCTACCTCGCCGACCCGTGCCCACCACCCAGAGGCCCCGGGCGGCCCGTTCCCGCCGCAGCACAAGAGGGAGAGCGGGCGGCCCGTCCCCGCCGTGACCTGAGCCGAGCCGCGCGCCCCGAGCCGAGCCGCGCCACCCAGCCGAGCCGCGACCCGACCTGAACCGAGCCGCGCCGCCCTGCCCTACCTGGTTCGTCCTACCTGCTTCTCCTACCGCTACTGTTGCTATTTCTACTGTTCCTATGGCTAGCCCACAGGTTCTCGTGTTCGATGCTGAGGGCCGCCCTGTGAAGTTTGACACCTGGCTCGATGACCTGCACCTCTACCTACAGCTCACAGCCAAGGATGACATCTCACTGTACGATCACGCCCTAGGCCTTGTCACTGCCCCTGCTGCTACTGCTGACAGCACTGCTCGCTCACAGTGGCAGACTCGTGATGCCCACGCTCGCTTCGCCATTCGCAACTCCCTGCCGATAGACGAACGCGAGCACTTTGGTCAGCACAAGACTGCACCGGCACTGTACACAGCTGTAGTTGCTCGCTACTCCTCACCTGCCTCTGCCGCACTAGGCCGTCTCTCCCTCCCCTACCTGTTTCCCGACCTGGCCTCCTTTCACACAGTCGCTGACCTCATCACGCACCTCCGTACTAGTGAGGCCCGCTTCCGTGCCGCCATGCCTGCTGAGTTCCTTGCCACGCACCCCCCTCCACTCTGGCTCACTCTCTATCACCTAGTCACCCGCCTCCCTGACACACTGCGTGCTGTCAGGGACCACTTCCTAGCTCGTTGCCCCACTGAGCTCACCATTGCCCTCCTCGAGAAGGAGCTACTTGCAGCTGAGGCTAGCATAGTCGCTGTAGGTGCCTCTCGTGGCGACCCCCGTACCCCGTTCTTTGAGGGGTGTTCTCCTTCCCCCCTTCTTCCCTCTGTCGCCTCTGCTGCTGCTGTCGACCTTCTTGGTACTGAGAAGGTCGGCGCTGCGTCTGCCTCGAGCGGACGCCGCAGCGGCAAGGGCAAAGGGGGCAAGGGTAGTGGCGGTGACGGCGGGGGAGGCGGCGGTGGGGGCGGTGGAGGCAGTGGGGGTGGTGGCTCGGCTGGAGGGGCGAGTGGTAGCGGTGGGGGTGGTGGCGGCAGCGGCGGGGGAGGTGGCAGGAGTGGAGGCGGCGGTTGGGGTGGCGGTGGACGAGGCGGCGGCAGGGGTTGGGGTGGTCGAGGAGGTGGCAGCGGTGGTGGTGGCCGTGGAGGCGCTGGCGGTGGCCAGGGCCAGCAGCACACTCTCTCGCCCCAGGAGGTCCGTGAGTGGTACTCTCAGCACGGGGGTGGGGGTGGTCTTAGCTGCACGTACGTCATTTGCACTGGTGACCGCACTGGTCAGCAGTGTGGACGACCGCACGCCACACAGCGCTGCTTCTCTCGTCTCGACGACGCTTGGCGTGTTCAGTTCCCTCAGGCCACTGAGCTGCCCCGCTGGCTTGATCTCCTGAAGAAGGGGATTGATATCTATGCTCTAGACTTTGATGCTATTCTATCTGCCATGTATGTGATGTCTACTAGTGGAGAGGGTGCTGAGTACTTGTGTGTGCCGCCCGACCCGGGCATTAGGGCCAGTGCGTCTGCCGCTCCAGGTACTCACGTGTCGGCTACCCCAGGTGCTGGTGAGGCTGCTGCTCTAGGTGCTCGTGTGTCTCCCCCCCTTGGTACTGCGTCGACTGCCGCACTGCACACCTTCACACTGGACTCAGGTGCTTCTCGCTGCTTCTTTCGTGACCGCACTGCCCTTGAGCCGCTTGCTCGGCCAGTTGCTGTCTCCCTTGCTGACCCCTCTGGGGGTCCGGTCATTGCGACCTCTTCCACTGTCCTTCCCTGCCCTGCGGTCCCGTCGGGCACACTGTCAGGTCTCCACCTCCCCTCGTTCTCTACGAACTTGGTGGCAGGCTGTGCACTCCAGGACGGGGGTGTTCACCAGTTCACCCCTGCCTACGAGCGCGTGACACACTGCACGTGTGCTCGTACGGGCCGTCACTTGGCTACCTTCACTCGGCAGCCGGGGTCGGACCTGTACACACTGACTACTGAGTCCCCTCAGGTTGCTGCGACTGCGTCCGCGTCCGCGTCAGGTCAGCTGTCCGCCCCCTGCTCGTGTCGCTCTTTGGCACACGAGACTGTCCTCTGGCACCACCGCCTTGGCCACCCGTCTGTGCAGCGGCTTCGTGCCATGCACTCCAGGTACCTTGTCTCTGGCCTGCCCAGGGTCCTACCTCCCCTCCCACCCTCGCCTGCTCCTACCTGTCTCCCCTGTGTCGAGGGACGGCAGCGCGCCGCTCCTCACTCCTCCTCGTTCCCCCCGACGACTGCTCCCTTGCAGACACTCCACATGGACGTGTGGGGCCCAGCCCGCGTCCGTGGTCAGGGTCAGGAGAGGTACTTCCTGATAGTTGTTGACGACTACTCGCGCTACACCTCGGTCTTCCCCTTGCGCACCAAGGGTGAGGTCCCTGATGTCTTGATCCCTTGGATCCGCCGAG